TACAAAAAAGATCTTGTATTAGTTCAATAACTCCAAAAATGATAAAGCTTTTAAATCCCCCACCCCACCCCACCCTCACCCCAAACCCAACCACCAGCTCCATAAAAATATTATTTTTTAACTTTTGATCATAAAATATTTTAAAAAAAATTCTTTTAATTAAAATTTATTAAAGTTGAAATTAAAAATGGAATTGTATTTGATCATATTTCTTACAAATGAGAGAAGAAAGTATTTTATTTAAAATTTATGGCTTGTTAGTGTTCTGAATTAACTCGATGATCGTTTGATTTGAGAAATAAGAAAAGAAAATCAATTAAAAATTTGAAATTAAATTTATAATATTAATTTCACATTTGAATTTTTTATGTCCTGAAACTCATGTGGTGTAATAATCTCAAATTTATAATCATAGGGATTAGATATTAAATTGACACATTTGTCTTTGTCTGAATCTCTTTTTCACCAAGTCGCTTAAACAGACACAACTAAAGTTAAAACTAAAAATTTACCTTGTTTTATCTTAGTTTAAATCAAACACATACTTAATATTATATATGTATGATTGTATGGTCCATTTTTAATTTTAAAAATATATATATTAATACAAAATATATATTCAATAAGTAACCTTTTAATTTAGAAAGAAACTTACATAGATATACTATATTAAGAAAATATTTACCATTTATAGTAATAATATTTTTTTCACTGGACAATTATAGTACATTTATAATATAATTTTAATACATTTTACACAAAAACAATTTATAAAACACATATAATACAAATTTTATTTATGGATAATACATTTATCACACACTTTAATACACTTATAATACATTATCTCAATTTCTTATCAAACAATCATAATATATTTCAAAACACTTATAACACATTTATATTGCATGCATAACTTTTAATACATAGCAGATTTATCATAGATTCATAATATTGCTACAAATAAAAAGATATAGTTAAAATTCGTTTATTTATTAAAAAATACTCACCTAAGTAATTTTTCCTTATTTAGAGATGTCAATATTGGGCAGATTAGAAACTTTGAAATTTGATAGGCGAAGATGGGCTAGCCCACCATTTCTAACAACCTTAATATGACTTGTATAAATAACATATATTTCACTAGTTCATGATATATGAGATTTATACATTCACATTTCTCTCGCCTTTCTCTTTATCTATCTTATAATATCTTTGATTTATGTATCTAGTGCAATTCACATGTATCTGAGATACTTCGACTCTCTTGCTCTCCTTTCTCCTACCTTACTCGCCTATCTCCTTTTGTATTTGTATTTTAGAATATATTTGATAGCATGCATTTAGATATTTCTGACTTGAAATCTGGTACAAAATTATTATTTAGTCAGACATCTGATATGAGAATATTTTAAATAACTGGAAATTAGTAAATAGAACAGAAATGTTTGTGTAGTTAGGTAGTTTTTCTATGATTAGCCCATCCTAATCATACATGGGTTGTGAGTTACATCGAACCAATTCACTTTTCTTTTAAATATTTTTCATAATTTTAAAAATCTAAATTCTAATTAAATATCTTAGTTCGATCCTAAAAAATTAGGTATTTGGATCGGATCGACACACTGAGTCAAATCTATATTTACAACTCTACAATTTCATTAGTCTTGATATTATAATTTCATTATTATTAATTTTGATTAACTTATTCACCGATCAAACAACCTGCGAGGATATAAATATTATATTTTGAAATTAAATTAGACCTAATATTTGTCTATTCTTAACAAACAAATACCAACTTCTTGTTTTCTTTTTCTTATTACATTATTATGTGGTTCTTTATTATCTTAAGCTTGCCGACACTCACCTTTTTTTTATTTTGTAAAATAAAGAACACACATACTGCATCTGTTCATTCTCCAGTGTATTATTTTATAATTAGGATAATTAATTACAAAGTAATCATTAAATCAGACAGACCATATAAACAAAACAACAAAAATACTTTTTTTCCAATGATCTCTAAAATTTACTATTCAATCATATCAATAACGGAGGGAAATCGCGCCCAACAAATGGATGAACGAGATTATGAAATGTGGCTGAATAGAAATCAAAGAAATATCGATTCATTTTACATTAGCTTGAGAAGATTTGTAGATCCCAGCCTTCGACATGACTTAGATTGATATTACTTGTGATATAATCAAAGTCGTTTTATTATCAAATAACTTGAAGGATCTCTTTTCGGAAACAAATTACTTTATAGTTAGAGCATTCTCATGATGGTCCTCAGCTAGATCAATAGTCAACTTCAAGTCTAGAGCTGACATCCTTCAATTAGTCCTGAGCCCAATATCGAAACTTAGATAGTTCTTTAATTACTCCTTAAAAAATCTCTTGTTAATCAAAAATTGATTTTTTCTGACAATACGTTTATCAAAATGATCAAAGGCGGAGTTAGAAGTTCAAACACGAATCTAGCCTAATTCATTAACTTTTACTTAAATAAAACATTTGTCCTAAAAAGATTCACTAAAATATATTTAAATAGTAAATTTAAATTCAATTAGCATCTAAAATAGTCTTTAAACAATGATTAGGGGATAAGGGAAGATGACAAAACTGAAGTACCCAACTCATCAAAATGACATATTAAAAGCAAGTTCAATCAAACTCATTATCATTAATTCAAATTTAATAACAAGAATTTTTAAATGTACTACATTTATTCTTCTAAATTTATACTCAAAATGATGAATTTGCATGTCACTTGCATACAATTAATTAAAGGAATAAAATAATAGTGTGGCACCCCATTTGACTAAAGGCCCTAGTATAGATGGAGACATGGAGTGCTTGTTTTTTTGTTTTTTTTTTTAAAAAAAAAATTTATAAAAAAAAGCCCTAATTTTTAAAAGTTAGATTTTTTGTTGTAGATGGATCAATGCCATCTTGTCAATTGTTCGTTGCGAGACAATTTATATTGAAAATTATTATCGTCTCACTTAAAAATTTAATTATTATTTTGAATCATTACACAACGTGTGTCAAATAATAAGAAACAATAACAACAAAGTCCCAATATCAAATACTTAAAATCGATTATATAAATTTTTAATAGTTGTATCTTCTTTGAATGTTTATAAAAATGATTAGGTAACAATATTACCCAACTTATAACTTATATCCCACAACATCACTAAAATAATCAAATAAAGGCATAAATAGGATAATGGTTAAGGAATGTTTAATTAATCTTTTTTTTTAATACAAAGAATTTTGTTTTACTTACCTTACCAAACTACTTCAACAAGGTGTCATACGCATGCAATATACTTATTCGAAATTCCCAATTTGACCATATGTGTTATATATTATTAAGAGTCGAGCTGCTCGATCAAGTAAAATTATATATATTATATAAAATAAAATAAAGTTTAGATATAATATTATGCTTGATAAAAATGATATAATTGACTACTGTAGATATTGAAATTTTGTGGGACTCTACAAGATGCGTTCAATTTGAGTTGGGACTCTACAAATATGTTCAATTCCAATTAGGATTCTTCGAGGCTACTCAACCATAAATCCAGTCAATACCTATATAAAGGGTACTAATTCCCTTAGGCATCTCGAAAATTTCATAAAAAGACCGAAATCTCAAATATTCCGCAAATTCGTGGAATATCTTTAGATCAATTCCAAATCATCTTATGTCCTTCAAATCTTATTTATGTAGTTGATTTATTTTTCATATGTTTAAATTTTTTTGCAAATAACTACAATTTGCTTAAAACTAAGGTTTTATATATCATACTCTCATAAGTAGTATTGAGGATTTTCTATTTTTTTAGATATATCATTAAAGGATGTGGTGCAATAAATGGAGTTGTTTTTCTCTCAATAAGAGGTTTCCATTTCGACTTCTAAATATGAAAAAAGTTCTAAATAAAAAGTGTTATCCCCGAATAATTACTATTCATCACAAATTCAAACTAATCGTATTCTAATATGAGTATCAATCACCGAATGAAAATCCAAAAAAAGTGCAATGATAATATGATATCTTCATTTAACTTTTTGAAGACAACTAACCACCATAACTTCTTTTTCCCTCACAACAAGGCAAAATTGAAATTTTAGAAATAATTTTTAATTTTTTTTAAAAAACAGTTTATTTTATGAAGTGGGGCTATTTTTGTAATTATGCATAGCAACCATTGGAATTCTGATAACGTACCCTTCAAGTGAAGAAAACATCAAAAGAGAAGCTGTGTTAGTTGCATTAAACATGCCCCACACTCATCACTTTTTTAAAAAAATATCGATATATCCGTATTAAAATTTGACTAAATTAAATTTATATTACGTAAAATTTAATCAGAGAGAAGTACATTGAAAATATTCCTAAATTTGATGTAAATTATTAGTCTCATTTTCGAATTGTTGAAAGTCATAAAAACGTTCTCTACTTGGCTAACTAAATTTAGATATACTCCGATCTACCACATAACATAACAAGTGGTCTCAAATTCTTATAGGAGCATGAATTTCCTGATAAAAAGTCGAGAGAAGTGTTGAAAACACACTTAAACTTGGTGAGAATTTAGACGTGTATTCCACTCAAGCTGCAATATTGGAGTGTATTTAAGTTCAGTTTGTCAAATAAATGAATGTCAACCGTTTGAAGATGAAGCTAATAATTTACACGAGTTTAGAAGTGTTTTTAATGTTTTTTCTCGCTTATTTACGTAAAAGATGTTTCTATAAATAAAATTTATGTTTAAAATTTAACACGAGACCTCAGATTAACGACGAAGATACCTTATCCGTTACACCACGATTTGTTTTTTTTGGTTGCCCCCACTCTCGTGACTTGCCCTATCAATTATCTAATTCTGAATTAAAAACAAAATGAACAACTAAGCCCCAAAAGTCTTTTTTATATTCATTTTCATCCCTCATTCTTCCCATAAGTAACATTTTTAGCTTCCAAATTTTCTCTCTCTGAATTCTGATGATCTTCATATCATATCTCTTTTGATTTCTCTCTCTAATTTTTACCTACCGTGTCTTCGTCTCTGCAAATTGCGGTTTCGTTAAGGTTTTTGTAGAATTTTCTGTGAATTTTTCAAGTAATTTTTTTACATCTGGGTTTTAGCATTATTGAGCTTGTTGAAGTAGTTCATGAGGATATGTATATGATGAGTGTGAAATGCTGTTTTTGTTTCATGAAATTTGCAGAAAAAACGGGGAATTTTTGGTGATTTTTTTTTTCAGTTGATGGATTAGGGGTTTTTAGGTTTTTTTGAAGTATGAATAGAAGTTTTAGGGCAGAGGAATCGGCGTTAAGGGAGCTGCAACAGCAAATGGGGAGCTTTAGGAATTCGGTAATGAAGGAGAAGGAGGAGGAGCTAGGTTTGTTTCTCGAAATGCGAAGACGGGAGAAGGAAAGAAATGATCTTCTCCTTTTCCAGAACGGCGATGAATTTGATGCTCCGCTTGGTGAGAAAACTAAATTTCCTTTTCAATTGATGTTTTTCTGTTTCATATATTATCTTCATTATTAGTTTCTGGTTGAGATTATGGTGTGATTTTGCGTTTCCTTTGATATAATTAGATGATTTATGGTAATGTAGAGCTTGCTCGACTCTTCGAAAATGTTGTCAGCAGGTGTGGGTCGTATTCTCTAAATTTTTGGAGAATCCGACCCGAGTCCGTGCAACTTAGCTGTAGAGGCATAAGAATACTACAATATGTTTGATTTGTGGTGAATTTGGGTTTTCCATTGAACTGTGCTTCATAAGCTAAGCTCATTAATTGTTATGTTTTGCAAATTCTTTGTCCTTTGTAGAATCAAGAGCAGGAAGTTCGCCTATATTCAACATTGGATCAACCACTAATGTGAGGAAGAATGGGACTGATGATTTCCTCAATGCTGACAATGACAAGAATGATTACGAGTGGTAATTTCCTTTTAATTTTACTGTCTTCTCGAGCATGTACTGATTGTGACTCTTCTTCTTCCGTTAATTATGTTTTTTTTAGCTGGTTAGGTTGAACTGTCTTAAATTCCTCAATCAAGTAAAATGTCTGTGTCATGTCACCTACATTATGTTTTCATATTGTATCTTCATCTTTTTATTGTTCTTTATGGGTAAAGCAATGATAACTTTTGCAGTTCTTTTTGGGTAAAGCAATGATACCTTTTACAATACCATCATACATGTCTGCTCTAATCTTCTGCAGACAGGTTTACTGATTTTTTAAATGGACATAATGTTCAATATCGGAGGCGCCCTAAGTAGTAGTTTAGTAAAGACAAAACACAAAATTGTGAAGATTGAAGGGGGGTGGGGGTGGAAAAATCATTGTTTCCCCTCAGGGAGCGGTGGAGTTTAAGAAAGGTAACATTAAGAAGTTACTCATCATATATATGGAGTATGCTTCCTTAATGTGACAGTGACAGATTCAAGTCATTGAATTTCATAATCAAGATTCGAAAACAACTAGGTTGCAATGCAAAGAAATGTAAAGCACCATGTTAAATGTCTAGATCGTATACAATGTTTCTCCTCTTTGTCTTTAATTTAGGACATTTTGACATGAGAGTCCAAATTTTGAAATTATTAGAAATAGAACTTCATTGGATAATGTGTCTTTCAAAACTTGGCTACGATTCGTAAAATTTGGTCTCCATGCTTCCAGGAAATTCTATACTCATGATATACAGGTTAACTTAAGATGAACGCTCAAAGTAAGAAGATGAGGATAAATAAACTTTTGGTGATGGACATTCTAATTTGGTGTCAATAACAAGTACTCCCTCTATCCCCCCCCCCCCCCAAAAAACAAATCAT